GAAGTTATAAGTCGCAAAGAGCGCATAGCTACCCGCAGAGATAATCGTGTCATTGAAGAAACCCATTGGAAATGTTGTTGGCGGCTGTACTTCCTCCTGGAATTTGTCTGATAAATGCACCAAATTCCTTTCATTTTAGGAAGACAATCCATAAGTACTTTCGCCGATCCGGCCGGGTCTAAGACACACAAACTCGAAGTTTATAATGGACCAGATGAAGAGTATAGAGATATGAGTTTCAATAGAAAATAAGCACGGTTCTTTTCATTCGAACTGGTGTCGGTCTTCTCATTTAGATGCTGACGGCTGATGATCTTCTGCTCCCAATAGTTTTGTCTGACCTCTATTCTCTTGTAAATATTTGTCAATCCCCGAACAAAGCCCAATCCTACAATTTGGTGGTAGTGGGTTGGTTATGGTAACTAGAGGTTAACAAAATGCTTACTTCCGTCCTATCTGAGGCTCATCTTTCCAATCCTGGGACATAAAATCCGCCAGTCCTCACATCATACATCCCGTAGTGCTGCCTTAAGACCTGCCAAAACCATCTACGTAGGCTATGGTTTTTCTCTTTAGGCGTTCAGGACTCAACGATCCTCTGTAGTGTTCGACTCATATCATTTTTCACATTTGGAAGATCCGGCTGCTCGACAGTTGCTGTCAATAGGCGTCTATTAGACACCCCTGTTGCCGAATTCTTCACCCCATCCCTGAGCCACCTATTCGATCGAGAAAGGTTACACCTTGTGGTACTCAAAGCCTTCTGGAGTGGATAACAAATGGCGACAGAGTCCGTTGACACTTAAGTAGAGGCTTGAGGGGCTTCTCCAATTAATCTTCTTTCCGCCATCAGCAAAGGGGCTGAACTCGTTTACCCTTTGGCATGAAGCATCATATTCTCGTCAAAGTTTATCTGTAAGCGGCATACATCCTTGCGGAAGGCACTTGAGGTGACGGGCAGCTACGAAGCCGCTGAAGTGAGGCAACATCACCTACCCTCGGTTCATTTCATTTTAGTCATCGAACCCCATCCATCTCCAAGACGGTAATAATGACCTCACGCCACCACTCACCGCTAGTGAGCTGCCCTTTTTATAAA